AAGAGGTATTAGTCCAGCTTTTTGCATGCATAAAATTCTCATGGAGGAAGGGCAAAAGCCAAACATAGAACAATAACGCTGCCTAAATCCGAACATGAAAGAGGTGGTAAGAAAAGAAGTGATTAAATGGCTTGATGCAGGTATTGTATTTCCAGTATCTGATAGCAAATGGGTAAGTCCAGTCCAATGTGTTCCAAAGAAAGGAGGAATGACCGTAGTAACAAATGAAAATAATGATTTGATTCCCATTAGAACTGTTACTGGGTGGAGGATTTGCCTAGATTAGAGAAAATTGAATAATGCCACCCGAAAAGACCATTTTCCCCTTCCCTTTATTGACCAAATGCTTGATAGGTTAGCCGGGCAGGAATACTACTATTTTTTGGATGGCTACTCGGGATATAATCAATTTGTTATAGCCCAGAAGACCAAGAAAAGACCACATTTACATGTCCCTATGGGACATATGCATTTTAAAGAATGTCATTTGGTCTTTGCAATGCACCTGCGACTTTTCAAAGGTGTATGATGGCTATTTTCACTGATATGGTTGAAAGATTTGTGGAAGTATTTATGGATGATTTTTCTGTATTTGGATGTTCTTTTGATGAATGTTTAATGAATCTTGATAAAGTCCTTGCTAGGTGTGAAGAAACAAATTTGGTACTAAATTGGGAAAAATGTCATTTCATGGTACGTGAAGGCATAGTCTTAGCACATAAAGTGTCCAAGAATGGATTGCGGGTGGATAAAGCAAAGGTGGAAGTAATTGAAAAATTACCTCCACCAACATCAGTTAGAGGCATTCGCAGTTTCTTAGGCCATGCGGGTTTTTACCGTCGTTTCATCAAGGATTTTTCAAAAATCTCATCTCCTTTGTGCAGGCTTCTTGAGAAAGATACATCTTTCAAGTTTGATGATGCTTGTCTGAAAGCATTTGATGAGCTGAAACGAAGATTAGTTACTGCACCGATTATCATTTCTCCAGATTGGAAACTTCCATTTGAATTGATGTGTGATGCAAGTGATATAGCCATTGGAGCTGTTTTGGGGCAGCGGAAAGAGAAAATATTTTGTTCCATTCACTATGCGAGTAGAACTCTTAATCCATCTCAAATGAATTACACTGTTACTGAAAAAGAGTTGCTCGCAGTAGTATGGGCATTTGATAAGTTTAGATCCTATCTAGTGGGGACAAAAGTCATAGTTTACACAGATCACTCAGCTATAAGGTATTTATTTGCAAAGAAAGATGCCAAGCCAAGGTTAATTCGATGGGTTCTTCTTTTGCAGGAATTTGATTTGGAGATTCGAGATCGAAAGGGAACAGAGAATCAGGTTGCAGATCATTTATCCAGGCTGGAAAATAGAGGCCATGTCACTGAAGGAGAATCAATCAAAGAAACATTCCCTGACGAACATTTGCTAGCCATCACTTCGGATGAAACCCCGTGGTATGCTGATTATGTGAATTTCATTGCAAGTGGGGTGACTCCACCAGAATTCACAGCTGACCATAGAAGAAGGTTCTTACATGATGTGAGATTCTACATGTGGGACGAGCCTTTTCTATACAAGCAATGCGCAGATCAATTGGTAAGAAGGTGTGTCCCTGAGGAGGAGATGAATGCAATATTGCATGACTGTCATTCTTCTCTTTATGGAGGTCATCATGGTGGAGACAGAACTGCACAAAAGGTTTTGCAATCAGGTTTTTACTGGCCAAAAATATTTAAAGATGCACATGCTTTTGCTAAAAATTGTGACAGGTGCCAAAGAACCGGAACGATCACGAAGAAGCACGAGATGCCTTTACAAAATATTTTGGCAGTAGAGCTCTTTGATGTCTGGGGAATAGATTTCATGGGACCATTTCCGTATTCTAATGGGCACAGATATATTTTGGTTGCAGTGGATTATGTGTCTAAGTGGGTTGAGGCCATTGCTCTTCCTACTAATGATGCGAAGGTAGTGGTAAGTTTTGTGAAGAAACACATTTTCACACACTTTGGAACTCCAAGGGTGTTGATAAGTGATGGAGGAACACACTTTTGCAACAAATTGTTGAAAAATGTTCTAGCAAAATATGGTGTAAGACACAAGGTTGCTACTGCATATCACCCTCAAACGAGTGGTCAAGTTGAAGTGTCAAACAGGGAGGTAAAACAGATTTTGGAGAAAACTGTGAGCGCAAATAGGAAAGATTGGTCCGGTAAGTTAGAAGATGCATTGTGGGCTTACCGAACTGCATACAAGACTCCAATAGGTACTTCTCCATACAGGTTGGTTTATGGAAAAGCATGTCATTTGCCTGTTGAGATAGAACATAACGCTTGTTGGGCAATCAAAAAGCTAAATATGAATATGGACTTAGCTGGAGAAAAAAGACTGCTACAACTCAATGAACTTGATGAGTTTCGGTTGCATGCTTATGAAAATGCCATGTTATATAAAGAAAAGACCAAAAAGTGGCATGACAAACACATCAAACATCGTGATTTTGAGCCGGGTCAAGAAGTTCTCTTGTTCAACTCAAGGCTAAAGCTTTTTCCTGGAAAGCTTAAGTCCCGTTGGGCAGGCCCTTTTGTTATAGTAAGTGTAACTCCTCATGGAACAGTTGAATTGCGAAACATTAATTCAACAGGCACGTTCTTGGTAAATGGTCAACGAATTAAACACTATTGGGGTGGTGACATTCAATGTCACAAAACCTCAGTAGATTTAACTGATGTATAATGCAATATGGCGTCGTGCCGCGACGTAAAATAAGGTGCTGGTTGGGAGGCAACCCAACGATTGTGGTATTTGTGAATATATAATTTTTTTTATGTACTAATAAATGCCGGTGAACAAGGGCAGATGCTAAGGTAAAAAAAATAAAAAAATAAAAATAAAACTTTCTTCGCGAACTATATAGTTCGCGCGAAAGTTCGCGCACCTTTCTGTCGGGTTTAACTGAAATGCGCGAACTATCATGCGAACTATATAGTTCGAGCACCATTCTGCCTGAGATCACTAAACGCGCGAAGTATCACGCGAACTATATAGTTCGCGCGCCTGGACGAGCCTATCAGCCTAGAACTTTTTAGGCGTTTTATTTTCTGTTTTGTCTTTGTTTTACTTTTTGTTTCTTTTATTTTAGTAAGATAAATAGTTAATAACCCTCCCCCTTTCAATAAAACCAAACCCAATACCCCCAAAATACAATCATCTCTTCCAAACCAACAAAACCCCCTAACTTTCATAACTTCAAGCACTCATCTCATATCTCAAAATCATTAAGGCTCCTTCCCTAAAATCATTAGCAGTTTCACCCCACCTCACGAATTCTAACGAGGTATGAACCCTAGTTTTAGTTTTCTTTAGTTTTATGTTTTTCTCTTGCTATTTTTAGATTTTAAGTTTCTTGTTGAATTTTAAGCCATTAATATAGTTGTATCTTGTTATTTGGGTTTCAAACTTGGTAAAATATATTGTGGGGTTAGTTTGTTGTAAGTGTGGGGTGCGTAGTACTTGAATTGGGTTATGAATGAACTTTTGTGGGAAGCCATTGTTGCAAGACCATTAGAAAAAAGTTGTGAGAGCCTACTGCCCACAAGGTGTTTGTGGAAAAGCCTCAATGAGCATGATTATATAGTTATGACCAATTTTGCGTGTGAAGTCTGAGTAACCGCAGCAAGTCATAATAGTTTTGTTGGGCTTAGTTAATATGTCCACGTTTTGCAGGTATTATGGCACCAACGAAAAAGCGCCAAGCCACGGGTCCATCATCAAGCCGCCAAAGGGCAGCTTCAGCACGATCTTATGATAGCAACAAATTTGTCTCCCTTGGGGCTTATAACCGATTTACAGAGAAGGCGACTAAGAAGGCAATTCCGGAAAGGGGCATCAACATCCAAAAGGTCAAGGAACGATGCCCCCACATGTTCAATGAGTTAATGGAGCGGGGTTTGAAAGCTTTCATTGACGAGCCAGGGGAGGCTAATGAAATGGTGGTAAGAGAATTCTATGTCAATCTACCCGAGCATGTCCACCAAGTGGTCACAATGCGCCAAAAGGAGGTAGATGCCTCCAATGAGACGATACACGCAGCTTATCAACTGCCCGGCCCTCTGCCTGAGAACTCGGACTTTTATAAATATGGGCGCCATCCAACCGATGCCAAGTGGGAGCGCTTCTTTGATGAAATTTGTGAACCAGAGAAAACGGTAGAATGGCTAGAATCTGGGGAGAAGTTCCATTCAGCCGTCTTAACTCAAGAGGCGAAGTGCTGGCTGTACGTGATCAACAGTCCTTATCCCCTCCACAAATACTACAGAGGTGAATGGACCCCGGGCTGCGTTGATTTTGTGTTTCATCAAGGGCCTTCCCTTCGACATGGCCAAAGTGATCCATGACGAGATGTTCATCAGATGCCCCCGACGCCAGTATGGTTTCTTTTTCCCTTCTTGGGTGACTAGGCTTTGCAGGAATGTGCAGGTGCCTGAAAACATTCGTGTGGACGGGCTGGTAAAAAAAAGCCACAAGATCCGACCTGGCCCGAACACTATGGAGGCAGCCTCAGCAGCAGAGATAGGTAGAGAGAATGAAAGTGGTTCGGACGCTTTGGAGGAGGAAGAGCATATGGATCTGGAGGGAGAAGCACTGGCTCAGGCACCCAGAAGATCAGCTGCAGCACTATCACGCGCAGCATCCTCTTCAAGAAGTGCCAGAGTATCCCGGTCCACCACATTGGAACAAGAGGTGGATGATATACGCACTTCCATGCATGATTTGAACACTCGTGTGGACGCAATAGCTGACCGACAAGTCAAGTCGGAAAAGAAGTTCATGGGTTGGCTGCGAGCTTTGGGGCGTGCATGCAACGTGAATCCCGAAACTGTGTCCGATCAAGAGTGACTCCTCGGGGAAGTATCTCTGCTACATCTCTTGTTTATAATGAAAGACATGGGGACATGTCTCGCTTTAAGTGTGGGGTGGAGGATGGTAGTAATTATTATGGATTTTTAGGTTGTTTCAATTGTTTTGGATTGTAGGAATGTTTTGGTGGTGTGGTACAATTGTTTCAATTGATGTTTTGGGAATGCGTGATTATTTCACTTTTATTTTTAAATATTTTGGTGATTTAGTATTGTTGGAGTAATTGTTCTTAAACATATTTTTATTAGTAGTTATACTGGCGCGGCCCGATGACGCATTCTTTTAGATAGGAGTTCTTGAGGGACTGAGCTTATTGAAAATAACAAAAAGATTTTTGTTTTTATTTTTGGTATTTTTAGGTAGTATAACAAATCCCCCTTGGTTTTTCTTTAAGCCACAGTTCTTTTCCAAGGGTTTATTTTGAACCGGGCATATGTAGTTTTTCACCGGGCATATGTAGTTTTTCACCGGGCATATATAGTTTTTCAGTGAGCATATGTAGTTTTTTTTTATTCTTGTATATTAAATAAAGGGATGCAAGCTATAGAAGAGAACTCATAGCGTTGACACACCTGAACACAATAGACCCTAGAGTGTAACGCTTAGTCTTAATTGTTGAATCTCACTGAAAGTGCCTTAATTTGTATGTTTGTACTGAATTGAATGCTCCTAATGGAGTGTCTTGATGAGCTGATCTAGAATGATTCATATTCCATATGTGGTGAGTATTTGTGTAGTCCATGTATTGTACTTGTATCTAGAACTTGCCCGGTATGTGAGTTCAAGCGAAATTTGAGGCTGATGCTCGGTTTGAAAAATGATGTTAGGCTTTCTTTGACCTTTTTGAGCTAAATTGCTTATTAAAAATAAAATTTGTCCCTAGTTATCCCTTTTGAGCCTTCAGACTTTTTGTTTGGCACCCGCATTACAAGCCTATACCCTTTTGTTCT